TGGAGAGATGGGGGCATCTAGTGTGCAGGGGGGTAGGGGTGATGCCAGACATGTAGTATCCCACAAAGCACCAGACAGTCCTCTACAAAAACATTTATAGGCAAAAATGTTAATAGTGTCAAAGCTGAGAAATCCTAGTATAAATAAAATATTCCTCAATGTGTCTTCTTACAGAGGCATTAATAGCCTATCCCTGTTTTATGAGAACGTTTAGAGTCAATTAAAATAAACCCTCACAGGATGTTGCTATGGTCTGAATGTGTGTGTCTCTTAAATTCACATTCACCCAGTGTGATCAAGTCATGAAGGCTCTACCTTCATGAATGAGATTAGTGAGTGCCCTTATAAAAAAAGGTTAGAGCAAGCCCCTTTGCCCCCTTCTGCTATGTGAGGACACAGCAAGAGGCACCACCATCTTAGAAGTAGAGGGCAAGGCTTTTCCAGACACCAAATCTGTCAATGTCTCGACAGTCCAGTCCAGGGTATTTTGTTACAGCATTAGAAACAGACTAAGACAGATGTTTGTTTATACAAGCATGCACATTTTAAATGCATCTGAAAAACTTGAGTTTATATTATAAATTCTGAAATGATCATGGAACTTTACAAGTTTCAATCTCAATTATTATATACTGTCATATAAATACACAGGACTGGGTAAATATATATACATATATATATATTTTTTTGAGACAGAGCCTCAAGCTGTCACCCTGGGTAGAGTGCTGTGGCATCACAGCTCACAGCAACTGCCAACTCCTGGGCTCAAGCGATTCTCCTGCTTCTGCTTCTCAAGTAGTTGGGACTATAGGTGCCCACAGCAACGCCCGGCTATTTTTTGGTTGCAACTGTCATTGTTTGGTGGGCCCAGGCTGGATTTGAACCCACCAGCTCATGTGTATATGGCTGGCGCCTTTGCCGCTTGAGCCACAGGTGCTGAGCCATGTATGTATTTTTGACATGTTTTCATCAAGGTATGATTTTTTTTTTTTTGAGACAGAGTCTCAAACTGTTACCCTGGGTAGAGTGCCATGGTGTCATCATAAGCTCACAATAACATCCAACTCTTGGGCTTGAGTAGACCCTCTTGCCTCAGTTTTCTATTTTTTTTAGAGATGGGGGTCTCACTCTTGCTCAGGCTGATCTTAAAGTCATGAGCTGAAGCAATCCACCTCCCTCAGCCTCCCAGAGTGCTAGGATTGTAGGTGTGAGCCACCATGCCCAGCCCATTGTATGATCCTTGCCATCTTTATTCCTTCTGCTTAAAGGATGTGCAAGTGGAAAAAAGGAAACCTTGCTGCAGGAAAGCAGGGAGGAGTAACTTACTGAAGTTTTAGTCAACAGTTTTTAAAAGGCATAATAAAGCCACACAGTGAGGCAGAGAACTACTTTCAGGATTTTATTTCAAAAGTACACAAGGTCACAAAACTAGAGCAAGTTCTATTTAAAAACAAACAAACAAACAAATTGTTCTTACAAATTTCAAAATCTGCACCATTGGATATGTAAGCCTGAAGTTTTAAATACGAAATCTAAAAGTGACATTATCCATTCTCTACTTTGCATATGTGATGTGTCAAAATATTTTTCTCGGTAGAACAAGTGTTATTTATCACTAAAATTCACAGTTAGGGACAAGAATAAGTGAATACATGAATTGTGGTTCTTTTAACACTTACGCCATTAAGTAAGTTAGCAGAAAACACAAAGTTCTTCTTTGATGGAACCTTTAGTGTCCATAACCAAAACCAAACTCAACTGATATTCACTATATTCTTAAATTATAAAATAGGATATGTACATTTTATAAAACTTGATTTCAATTATAAAAGGCTAGTGTTATCATGTATAAGTGAAACTTTCTCTATAAAGAAACAGAACCACAATTCACAAATTTATTTATTATTCTTCCCTGCTTCTGTAATGTATATAAAAGGAAATTTGTGCTCAGTTATTAACTACTTTAGTGTCAATACAGGCAAATGAGTAAGAAATCCTATTTGCAAAACATGTTGTTTTTATTGCTGAAATATCCAAAGGCATTTGAAATATTAAAACTTGCCCAGAACAGTTACACTACCAACCACAAGAATGTTATAAAGATATATGTACATATGTAATATATAATGTCACAAGCCACTAAAAAGTTAAAATTGTGTCAACAGTTTCTACCAACTACTCCTTTAGTGACACATCAAAGCATTAACCACATAAAATATGAATCTTTTCTGTTCACACTGAATAAGGCATCTGACAGCCCTAAACACTGTTGAAGCAAAAATGAGGGGAAAAAAGAAACTCCAAACATTTACAAAGCTTCAAATATACATGCTGCACACACAGAAAAGACACCAAAAATAGTTATTTTAAGAAGCCACACATTACAGAACTTGATAGTCAACTTCATGCAATGAGTTCTTTTTAATCAAAATGTTTACTTGCCTTATTTCCTCTACATTTCCAGGACTCAATCTTAACTTTTAAAATTATATTTTTCAAAAAAAAAAAAAACCTGATTTTTTCCCATAATTTGTATGGATAATGATTTGAGATTTTTTGCAGTTTTTTTTTTTTGGGCCAGGGCTGGGTTTGAATCCGCCACTTCCGGTATATGGGGCCAGTGTCCTACTCCTTGAGCCATAGGCGCCACCCTGATTTGAGATTTTTTGATTAACCTCCCTCTAAGACACACTCAGGCTGTATTTCTGTTGTAACAAGTTCATGGCAGGTAGCTCAAATTTAAAGGAAGTACTTTGTCCAGATTAACTGGTCAATATAATCAACAAGAGGTATTTTTAGGGAGTGGAGAGCTTTTTAACAGAGAAATAACATTTGTTAAGATTGCCAGTAAGAAAAAGAACATCTGTAAACTACTCCATGTTAAAAGTGCAGAACTGCATACTCTACAGAGTCATATGTGCCTGTCTCTCCAAAGTACCTGTGTAGCCTTAAGAAATGACACTGAGTCTCTCAGCTATAAGGTAGAACGGCTTTGCTTTGAAGATGCAGTACTATCCTTGAGTGATACTCAGCTCTTCAACTGAAATGCTAGAATAAGTTTTTGCTTAACTACTTGATGACTACCAATAATAAATCTAGAACAAATATTTGATCTGCCCAAATGTTGGTTCAATTAGACCTCTGGTTCAAATGAATTATTATCAAAGCTTGGACATTTGGGAAATTATCAGAGGAGCTGGAGATACAAGCCTAAAATTAAATTGCATCCTCTAAACACCCAGTAGGTCTCTTCAGGTTATACACATGATTTTAACTGAAAGCCATTCTGAAAGAGATTTTGATTCACTTACAGCCAAATCCTAGTAAATACGAAGTTTAAGGGAAGCAAAGTGTTGTACACATCCACTTTCTGTGGTAATTATCTTCCCTATATGACAATCAGTAATAGGAAGGACCAAAATTTTATTATTAAAGCTGTTTTGTGTGTATTATATTTTTTAAATAGATTTCATCCATATAAAACAGGCCAAATATTTAGCATTCAAAAATAGCTACTCTTATAAAATCAGAAACACAGTCAGAGTGTGTGGGATGTTCAAATTTTTAAATCATTATGAACACCACAATCATTTAAGTTATATCCACAAAAAACAGAGAAGAGGAGGCAAGTTTAAAAACATGAGGATAGAAAGGTGTCACAGTGATGTGTTTTTAGAAACAGTACCCTCACCTCTAAGCACCTTTCAAATAGGTGATAGCTAGCTCATAGGCACCAGAAATTCATAATAGAAATTAAATCACCCAAAAGGCACAGATGAAAATGTTAACACAAGTATAAAAGTAATTTTAAAAATGCTTCCAAATATGTAAAACTATACACTAATCCATTACACATTCATCTTAAATTTACCATTAAAAAGTGTACACAATACTCTGCCTAATCGTAAATACATGCCAACATTAATTTATAATGTAGCATTTACCACCACAGCACCCAAGAGATGAACAGAAACCAACTCCCTACTAAAATCTAGGGAAAAGGTTTTAGAGCTAGTGAAATAATTTATTGCAGACCTTATTTACTATAAAGAAACTATTGGCTCATTCTACTATATCCACATTCCCTCACAATCTTAAGGGAAATCCAATAAATGCATTTTCTTCCAAAACAATATTTAACACATTTGGCAGGTAGGAGTATTCCCTTTACTCCTTTTTCTTTCTTTCTTTAAAGAATAAATCACTTTCAGAAAACTAAGACTCAACCTTTTTCAAAGCTCAACTTGACTTGTTGGAACTACATGAAGACATGTTTGGCCACACACCCGTAGATCCTCCCAAGTCTGGAAGACAACTGATGGAGGACACTCACTTGCTTAAAATGTATTTGATTGTTCTGAGTCTGTGAAGAAAATAGCCTCTAGGAACTGCATTCAAGTGAGTAGATTCAGGATTACACGTTTCTAAAGCATATAATATGTAACATCATCCAAAAAAAGAAAAAAAAACAACAACAAAAAACAAAACGAAAGCAAAAAAACCACTGAACCAGAAAAAACACTTAAAATTTAGAGTCAATAATTAAAACCTTTCAATCTGTAATTGTCAAATAATAAATGAGTTGTAATAGTTTATTAGAAAAATACCACCTACAGTGAAAAGCCAGTGTCCAGTTGGAACTATCGAATACTATAATACATCCTTGATCTGTCTGGTCACTATCTGGAAGACCACCACAGACCTTGAGGCATGAGATCGTGAACCAACAAAATCTATCCCCACAACCACACCGTTAGTGTCCTATCTATATGTAGCTGACAGCAAATGTTCTAAATCTAATAGATACTACTTCTTTACTTTAGCATATAAAAGAGCTTACTATGTGCCTGTTTCCTGTAGCAGTCTTTCAACTACGTCTTTAAGAAATCACCTTATAGACAAGGTTTATGAATGATTTAAAAGAAAAACTAGTAATTTCTTTTTTTTTTTTTTTTTATGGCTGGGGCTGCATTTGAACCTGCCACCTCCAGCATATGGAGCCGGCCCTCTACCCTTTTGAGCCACAAGTGCTGCCCCAAAAAACTAGTAATTTCTAAAACATAGTAATGTTTTCTATGTTATTAGAGATATTCCAAACACATTTAGAGTTGTCAAAGAAGCTATCAAAAACAAGTGCAAACATATACAAGTAATTTTGCCATTTACTAATTTGGAGGAGACTATCAGGTCATAAATAAATGAGACACACCCTAAAAATGGTAGAAATTATAAAGTACCACTTTCACATGATTCACGTATCAACTTGGTATACATATCAGTTCACCAGTTTCTTCACTTAAGATTTGATATTCAAAGTGCTACCTACATCTTACATAGGTCTTCTTATTTAGAACCCATTAAAATCAATCTCTAAAAAAACCCAGCTGGCTTGATCAGATGGTAAATTTGTCTTTACCTACTTTAATATAACCAAAAAAAATGTTTTTGAAGTATATTTCTTACAGTTTTCTGATCAATTTCTTTTTGATATATTTTGAGGCTAGAAACATAATTTAGACCAGAATATGTTTTCATTTATCAAGTGGAAAGAAACACGGAGAGTGTAGATGAGAGGTATGGAGAGTCTATACTATAGACCCATCCTTGCTCTGTGCTGGAATCATGACAGGCACCGCTCCCATTCGACTTAGATTAGGGGCAGCTACCTTAGCAGGTGGGAGAGTCGGACTCTGAGGAACGCGTTCAAAGTCTTCACTTGGCACTTGGTTATACTGAGCCTTAGCATATCCCTCCATGTTGGAAGGAGACATGGATCCCAGGGATGAGTGATTGCTGCCTATGTAGCTTCTGGCAGTGGATGTACGGCTCTTTGGAGGAGGCACGTCTTCCCTGGAAAGCAGAATCCCCAGTACAAGTTAAAAGAACAAGTTTCTAAAACCCTACAATTACATAAGCTATGAATCATGGGTAAAACCCTCTATTCTAGTACTACACATATTAAAAGCAAGTGTGTACGTCACCAAAAAAGCAAGCAGAACAGGTATGTCAGGAATTGTGTATTTGTCCTCAATTTATCATTTGGACTTAAAAGTATATACCTTCACATTTAATAAAATATGGTATTTACCCAAACATATATGGACGTATGTTATCTTATAAGGAATAAATCTCAAAGTTTCACATTCTAGTATTGCTAATCAAGGTAATTGATTATAGTCAGGTAACATTTTATAGTTGATAAAACACTTAACACCTCCAAGATATATTTCTATCCCCTCCCTGAAAAAAGAACTCCTTTTTGCTATGAAAGTTATCTAAAACCATAGCTGAAAACCTTACAGATTTAAGTTTGCAAAAACTATGAATTTAGGTATAAAAATTTTCACATCAACCACTGACAGAACAGTCAGCCTTCCGTCTCTCTAGGTTCCACATCTGTGGATTCAGCAAACTGTGAACTGAAAATATTTTTTAAAAAAATTCATCTTGGGTGGCTCCTGTGGCTCAAGGAGCTGGGTTCTGACCCCATATACTGTGGGTGGAGGGTTCAAATCCGGCCCCGGCCAAAAAAAAAAAAAAAAATTCATTTGTACTGAACATATACAGATGTGTTTTTTCTTATCATTATTCCCTAAATAATACAACAACCATCCATGCAGTATTTATATTATGTTAGGTATTACAGGCAATCTAGAGATGATTTAAAGTATACAGGTGGATGTGTGTAGGTCACATATATACATAAGTGCAGCATTTCACATCAGGGATTTCAGCATCCTCAGGTTTTGGTTATGTGCAGAAGGTCCAGAGACCAACCCTTGACAGATACTGAGCTACCTTTGGTACCTTTAAGAAGTGCAGGCATACTCCGTTTTACTGTGCCTTGCTTTCCTGCACTTTGCAGTTACTGTGTTTTTAACAAACTGAAAGGTTCTGGCAGCCCTGTCCAGCAAATCCATGCGGGCCACTGCTTCCAATAGCACGTGCTCACTTCTTGCCTCTATGTCACATTTTGCTAACTCTCACAATAGTACAAACTTTCTCCTTAATATTATATCCATTATGCTGATCCGTGATCAGTGATCTTTGATGTTACTATTTTAATTGTTTTAGGGATGCCATGAACAATGCCCATGTAAGACAGCAAACTTAAAAAATGTGTGTGTTCTAGCTCTTCCTCCATCTCTCATCCCCTGAGAAACAATACTGAAATTAGTCCATTTAGTAACCCCACAGTGGCCTCCAAGTGTTCAAGTGAAAGGAACAGGAGTACGTCCGTCACTTTAAATTAAAAGCCAGAAACAATTAAGCTTACTGAGGAAAGCATGCTGAAAACCAAGATGGGTGGAAAGCCCAGCCTCTGCTGAGCTGAACTGTGAATGCAAAGGAAAAGTTCTGGCAGGAGATTCAAAGTGCTACTCCAGTGAACACATGAATGATAAAAGGAAGCTAAACAGCCCTACTGCTGAAAAGGAGAAAAGTTTGAGTGGTTTGGATTGATCAAATCAGTCACAACATTCCCTTGAACCAAAGCCCTAACTCTCTTCAATTCTGTGAGGCTGAAAGCAGGTGGGGAAGCTGTGGAAGGAAGGTCTGAAGTTAGCAGAAGTTGTTTCATGAAGTTTAAGGAAAGAAGCCATCTCTGTAACATAAAGGTGCAAGACTAAGCAGAAGTGCTGATGTAAAAACTGCAGCAAATTATCTCGAAGATCTAGCTTAACATCATGGATGAAGGTGGCTACACTAAATGAAAGATTTCAGTGGAAATGAAACAGCTGTTTCTTGGTTCTCTAGGCCTATCAGAGCTAAATAAGTCAATGCCTGGGCAGCACCTGTGGCTCAAAGGAGTAGGGCGCCAGCCCAATATACCGAGGGTGGCAGGTTCAAACCCAGACCCGGCCGAACTGCAACCAAAAAAAGCTGGGCGTTGTGGTGGGTGCCTGTAGTCCCAGCTACTCAGGAGGCTGAGGCAAGAGAATTGCTTAAGCCCAGTTAGTTGGAGGTTGCTGTGAGCTGTGTGACACCACGGCACTTTACCAAGGGTGATAAAATGAGACTCTTGTCTCTACCAAAAAAAAAAGGATGTAGCTTGTAGCTGCTATAGACAGTGATTCCTTTGATGGATATGCAAGTAAACTGCAAACTTCCTGGAAAGGATTCACCATTCTAGATGAGATTAAGAATATTTGTGGGCTCAGGGCCTGTAGCTCAGTAAGTAGGGCACCGGCCACATACACTGAGGCTGGTAGGTTTGAGCCCAGCCCAGGCCTGCTAAACAGCTATGACAACTACAACCAAAAAATAGCCAGGCACTGTGGCAGGCACCTATAGTCCCAGCTACTTGGGAGGCTTAGGCAAAAGAATTGCTTAAGTCCAAGAGTTTGAGGTTGTTGTGAGTTGTAATGCACTTCTACCAAGGGCAACATAGTAAGAGTCTGTCTCAAAAAAAAAAAAAAAAAAAAAGAATATCTGTGGCTGGCCAGTCACAGTGGTTCATGCCTGTAATCTTAGCACTCTGGGAGGCTAAGGTGGGTGGATTGCTGGAGCTCATGAGTTCGAGACCAGCCTGACCAATAGCAAGACCTTCTCTCTAAAAAAAAAAACAGAAAAACTGAGGCAAGAGGATCACTTGAGCCCAAGAGTTGGAGGTTCTGTGGGCTATGACACCATGGCACTCTACCCAGGGCAACAACTTGAGATTATCTCAAAAAAAAAAAAAAAAAAAAAAAAAGAAAAGAATATCGGGTGCAGTGGCACACGCCTGTAATCCCAGCGTTGAGGGGCCAAGAAACGAGGATCACTTGAGGCTAGGAATTCAAGACCAGCCTGAGGACTAATCTCTGCAAAAAATTGAAAAAAGTAGCTGGGTATAGTGGTGCGTACCTGTAGAATCAGCTACTGAGGCAGAAGGAACACTTGAGCCCAGGAGTTTAAGGTTGCAGTAAGCTACCCTATTTGCACTTTAGCTGGGGCAACAGAGCAAGACTCTGTTTCAAAAATAAAGAGTATTTATGATCCATAGGAGGAGGTCAAAACATCAATATAAGAGTTTTGAAGATGCTGATTCCAAACCTTATGGATGGCTTTGAGGGGTTCCAGATTTTGGTGGAGGAAGTAATTGCAGATGTGGTGGATATAGCAAGAGAATTAGAAGGGGTACCTGAAGATGTGACTGAGTTGCTTCAACCTCATAAAACTTGAAGGTAAACGCTTTCAAATGTGTCAAGGATGGGGGCCAATGCTTTTATTCAGTTCTCATAGGGCAGATTAACTGCTTCTTTGGACAGTTAATCAGAGAACTAATGCTTTAAAGAAATAACAGACTTCTTACATCACTCCACTCCTGTCTCACTTAATTACCTGATATCATGATGAACTTCCTTTTCATATTTTTCTTCTCTGCGCTTCTTACGGCAGCAAAAGACGATAAAACCGATGCACACTAGAGCAAGCAAAATTCCTATAATAGCTCCCGCAATTGTTGCAGCTCTATTTGAAGCTAGAATAAGAAGACAGTAAGAATTAACGGCAAAAAAAAAAAAAAAAACTAAACTAAATCTATTGATAACTAAAGCAGGATACATATTGACAGACTGATTTCATTGTATATATTAACTTTAAGAGACATATTATTTAGCTTTAATGATCCAGTGGGGAAAATTCATTAAAAAGAACTTGTTGGGCTGGGCAAGATGGCTCACGCCTATAATCCTGGCACTCTGGGAGGCCAAGGTGGGTGGATTGCCTGAGCTCACAGGTTCAAGACCAGCCTAAACAAGGGTGAGACTGTGCCTCTAAAAATAGCCAGGCATTGTGGCGGGCACCTGTAGTCCCAGCTACTCAGGAGGCTGAGGAAAGAGAATTGCTTGAGCCCAGGAGTTTGAGGTTGCTCTGAGCTATGAAACCACAGCACTTTACTGAGGGTGACAAAGTCAGATGTCTCCAAAAATATATATATAAAAAGAACTTGTCTGCTCAACTGTAGAATCTATTTCAAGCATAGAAATAAAACCTATCTAAAATATTTAATATTCAAAGTGATCTTTAGCATATGGGAATGTTCTAAGCTATTCATAATGGCGAAATAGGATACATGAGATGATATGATAACTCTTACCTTCTTAAGATATCACTGTAATGATTAAAAAAGGTTTTATTAACAAAATGTATTTTTTTGGCTAGGTGTGGTTGCTTATGCCTGTATTTCTTGCACTCTGGGAGGCAGAGGTGGATTACTTGGGACAAGGAGTTGGAACATCAGCCAGAGTAAGAGACCCTGTCCCTACTAAAAATAGAAAAAATGAGCCAGGCATTGTGGCACTTGCTGGCAGTCCCAGCCACTCAGGAGGCTAAGGCAAGAGGATCACTCGAACCCAGGAGGTATGAGCTAGGCTGATGACACTATACTCTAGCCTGGGCAAGTGAGACTCGGTCTCAAAATAAACAAATCAATAAAACATTTTTCTAGAAAAGCTAATAACTAAGCCACATGATGTTCTGACCCAAGTTAGCATCCTTTTGCTCAATACACACTGACTGAGTTAAAGGAGGCGGTGTAAGAATAAGAGAAACACACAGAAGGAAAACACTTACGAGGAACGACGTCCAGGCGCAGCAGGCACTGGTCAGAGCCCACTCTGTTTCTGACTGTACAGCTGTATGTCCCAGAGTACTCAGAAGAGGCATTTTTTACAGATATAACAGATGAAGTCATTTCTAGGGGAGGAGGAAGAAAAGAAACCTCATTTTCACAGGATGCATTGCTCTGAGTTTTAGTAAAGGCAACCCCTACCCAGGTTGACAGTCCACTTAAAAGCAAGACAGACCAAGGCTCCAATTCATCTCCAGGATTCACATAATCAGGCTTCCAGTTCATCCTGTATCAGATTAAAGCAACCATGACCCAGCCCCCCAAACCCACCCATCTACCACAGAGCCTCAGCTGAAGCAGGGGTATGCTTAGCTATTGCAAACCCATTCTTAGCCACTTTTGATTACAAAAACCATGGGCTTGGGTGGTGCCTGCGACTTAGTGAGTGGGGTGCCGACCCCATATACCGAGGGTGGTGGGTTCAAACCCAGCCCTGGCCAAACTGCAACAAAAAAATAGCCGGCGTTGTGGCGGGTGCCTGTGGTCCCAGCTACTTGGGAGGCTGAGACAAGAGAATTGCCTAAGCCCAGGAGTTGTAGGTTGCTGTGAGCTATGACGCAACAGCACTCTACTAAGGGCAATCAAGTGAGACTCTGTCTCTAAAAAAAAAATGGGCTCTTTCATGCAACAGGAAAACTTACAGAAATTTATTTTATTGCCACAGATCAAAGAAACATACAAAAGAATTTGGTTTGGTGTCTTAGTTTAGAAAAAAATGAGAGAAAACCATCTTAAGACCAGGGTGCAGTGGACAGGAAATGGGTGAAACTTGGTAACAGTTTGAATTTATAGGTCAATTAAAATAAAGTGATTAGATTTAGCCATTTTATCTCTAGTTAGTGTCACAAAGACTTTTAATTTACAAACATACCATGGGTAAATTACATGCTCTAGATAACATACTCAAGATCCATTTCTTCTTATATTTTAGCCACTATCTAATTTATCATCATGAAAATTTCTCATCAATTAAATCTACCAAAGTAACTAATTAGAATTTCTTTAAAAGTTACAGAAATATCTCTTAATTTATATATTATATTATACTAGTTTGATATTATAAAACAGTGAAGAATTCCCATGGAAATCCTTGCTGTTCTATATAGAAAAGGGCAGGCATTTGTTGACTTAAATATATAAGCATATCCACACAAAGCCTACTAGATTTAAGTCCAAATCAATGGCACATGGTACAAACAGCATCCACAGTACCTGGTAACCATGAGGCAGGCAATTTCTGTGAGTCAGACAATTTTTGCCATTCATATCGTAATGGAAGTGAACCCTCTTTTGGTTCACATTTTAATTTAAAGTCATTTCCAATTTCTTCTGATCCATCAATGTAACATCTTGTACCTGAAGGTTTAACTGAAAAAAAAATTACAACTTATAAGATAATGGAATTCATTTTTAGAATAACTTAAAGACACAGCATAATACTCACAACCACTGACTCATTGTCAGTTGGTCCTGGGTTCAGAATTGACAAAACAATGAACGACCACACTAGATTGTCGAATTCAGTTTAGTAAGCTTTATCCAACAAAACAGGAAATAAGCTCAGGCAAACAGCCATCACAGGAGGAGGCTTGGCGGATCTTGGGCTGATGTCAGTGCCCTTCCATTCCATGGGGCACACCTGAAGAAAGCAAGGATAATAATGTGGGCTGGACTACTTGAGATTCAAGACAGCTCTCCCTCCATTCCTTACCTGTTCTTCTCCAGGCTTGAAATGTAGCCCTCAGGAGTACAGACCAAGGCACCTGCCTTAAGTGCCATTACCCTGACAATCGGGATTTATCACTAATAATGCTGATAACAAGGATAATTCACGTAGTGCACCAAGGACCAATTAATGTTCTGCTTTTACTTTAGCTCAATCCATCCAGACAGCAGCATTATAAAAGAGTAAATCTAAGGCTACAGTCCACGTATCCCTGGGCAACTGCTTACAGCAGCTGCTATCTTGTCCCTACAAATCACCCCAACCACAGATTAATACCTTGACAGTGCATGCTCTTCTGCTAAACTTTATTATGGCATTACATTTACACACTTAATGTTAACTGTGGGTTTACTGCTTTTAATAAATACGTACATACATCCATTCAGCACCATTCCCCCTTCTCCCAAGAAAGTTCCCTTGTGCTGGTTGTAATAGTCCCACTTCAAAACCCTGAACCCAGGCGCCCAATGATCAGATTTCAGGCTAGTTGGGCTTCTTCTAGAATCACGTGAATATAACCTGATAGTATGTACTTTCTCTCACTTCTTTCATTCAGCAAAATGTTTCTAGACTGATCCACGTTGTTGTATACAGCTGTAGTTGTTTTATTGTTCCAGTGAATGACTATAACACAAGTTTCCTTATCCAGTCACCCATTGATGAATTCTGTTTCCAGTTTGGGGGCTACTGTTAAAGCCTGATTAGACACACTGACGAGAAGCAAGTGTGTAGTCTCTCAAAACCAGATCGGCCAGTGAGGAAGGCATTCTGAGGACCCATGGAGCCAGGGGACAAGAAGTATTCTCAAGGACTCTGAGGAGACTCCAAGGAAAGTGGAAATCAGCTCTCAATCAGCTGTTTCTGAGGAGAGATTAGGAGAAGTGGGGATTCAGCAGGGGGTGGGTGTTATCAGGAGGTGGGCCACTTAGTAAGCGAGTACCCCAGTAAAGGACAGGTGGTGTGCAGAGCGTCTGGGGCACATCAGTAGATGGCAGTGGTCCACGTTTTACTTGTGTTCTGCAACCCTGGGAGAAACAAGGCTTTCTGTCAACTCTGTACTTGGCTTTATCCCTTGTCCTCCCAGGCTGATTAAGGGCAAGACTGCTTTTTTCTTTTCTGGTTTAAGCTGATTTTCATTCTTTGAAATGGGTTTTTATTCTTTCACTGCTGTGAATAAAGGTGGATGGGTTTTATAGTTTCACACTATTGCGAACAACACTTCTTGAACACCCATGTAAACATTGGCATGTGTGTTCCTTTTTCTTGGTCATTGCTGGGTGATACGGTAAGTGTATGTTTAAGTCTCTGAGAAGTTACCAAACTGTTTCCTAAAGCTGGCCAAGAGGATTTGTCATAGTCAGTGGGGTATCTTCACCTGGGTTGTCAGTCATGACCTCACTCCTCCTTAATGCTCCTTAGCAAATCTAACTGTCTTACTATTTCTCCCCTCCATCTACTGGTACTTTTTAATAAAGGGCAACAGATACATCTCACTGCACTATTATTTTCCTGAGTAAATCTGTTTCTTTATCAGGCTGATCAGTTGCTCTGAAGACTACATCTAATTAGACTTCCAAATAACTTTTGCAAAGTATTTCATCCTGTGAGTCTTCAATGAAATAAGCCTTAGTCTTTATTTCTTCAAACTACCAGTAATTCCTTTATTAGGAATTACTAGAATAAACTAGGAAAGTACATAAGATATTAAATCAATGCTTTGTACATCAAATACTTATTGCCAATACAGTATTCTACCCTTAACTGTAATTCTCATGCTTTCTACTAAAAATGCCCCTCTATAATACACTGAGCATATCTAATAACGTGGAGTCATTTAAAGCTGCTGCTTAGGAAATTCAAGATTCAGCTAAGTCTGAGATCTCAACATAACCTCTTCACAACAGAACGAGATTCTACCAATACTGCTTTCTGCGTGTGTCACTTTGGAGCAGCCCACCTGCTTTCCACTTAGAGGACAAAGTACAAGTCTTTTATATACCTGCCCCTAACCATTACAACGTGAGAAAGATTAACTCTTACCCTGTGGCACTCTTGCTGGAAATGGAAGAAAACCACAGAGGGAACACGAATAAAGTCCCATCCCCTGTGTGTTTCTTGGGTGTGGGCTTGTCCTCTGAACATCTGCCTCCATGATCATTAGCATAGCCAACAGTTCATCTCAGATAAGGGCACGTCACCATCACGTTGACTGGTCTTTGTTATCCCACCAACTTAGTAATGCTGCATTCCGTAGGTGCACATACTGCTTTATCAGCCTTCCATGCGAGTGGCCTATCTCAGTGTATCAGAAATACACTCTAAAATCAGGTAGGGTACACTTTTATTGTGATGTCATCCTTCCAAGAATGCTGTCTGCTTGGGTCAAAAAAACCCTTACCCCAGACAAAATCCATCAGTAGATGGCTACAGTCAATAGAAAAAGTTAAAGATGATATTTGCATAGTCTCAAATTATTTACCCCGAGATATTTTTTAATTACGGAGGGGGAAATCATAACTTTATAGTGGAGAAACTCATCAGATAAAACGTAACCCAAGTGATCACGATTAGCAATAACACATAACATCAGGTGCCCCTTGACGTGACTGGAAGAGACTGAGAACAGTGAAATGCAATGTGGATGCTAGATGTGCCCCTAGTACAAAGGGGCATCAGTGGAAATCCAAGAAATCCAAATTAGGTCTGTAATTGGCAGTATTGTATCGATGTTAATTTCTTGTTGTGCATTTTTTTTTTTTTTTTTTTTTGAGACAGAGTCTCACTCTGTTGCCCAGGCTAGAGTGCAGTGGCATCAGCCCAGCTCACAGCAACATCAAACTCCTGGAGTCAAGTGATTCTCCTGCCTCAGCCTCCCAAGCAGCTGGAACAAATAGTAGTTGCCAAAATACCCTGCTAATTTTTTTCTGTTTTTAGTAGAAACAGAGTCTCGCTCTTGTTCAGGCTGGTCTTGAACTCCTGAGCTGAAGGGATCCTCCTATCTCAGCCTCCCAAAGTGCTAGGAATAGAGATGTGAGCTATCACACAAAGCTAATTTCTTGGTTTTGATAATTGTAGTATGATTTTGCAAGATGTCAACATTAGGGGAAATCAGATGATGGCCATACTCTCAGAAACTCCCTAGTATTTTTGTAACTTGTCTGTAAAACTAAAAATAATTTCAAAACAAAAGGGCTAGAGGGAGCCCTGCCTAAGACCAATGGTTTGCAAATCCCTCAGGACCTTTATGGTTAGAGTTGACTGAGCCATCATACTTGCTACTGTGTTCTGGGGGCATGGTATAGTGCATCACATACATGCATCCTCTATTCTTCAAAACAATTCAGTCTCTTTATCCCAACAGGTCTCAAAAATACACAAGCCCTCTGAGAGTTTTAGGGGAAGGCACTGATAGTATGTGGCTAACATCAGCTGCCACTCTGAGCTGCAGGCACACAAACTTTTGGTGTATCGGGAAAGGCCCTGGCAATAGGGCGAGCTATACCAACATGCTCCCCCCACATTCAGACAGCCAATAGTCATCTGGGGTCATGGTTCAGTAAGTGAACTATCATTATCTTCTGAATGCCATGTTGGCAAGTCCTTCAGATTCCCCACCAAAAAACCAAAATACAAGGTTTAGCCAAAAGACAGAGCTGATGATTACTGCTTAGTTGGGTCACTAGAGGGCACTTCACCTTATCTTTTGCCCAGATCCTCCAGGCAGAATTTTCAGGCAAAGATAATAGATAAGGGTTAAATTCTCAGTTTCAAAAGAAATCAATCCTGGTGGTTTCTCCCAGGGCCAGTTATGATTCATCTAACAAGGAAGAAAGAGATACAAGAAATTCTTCTCAGGCTCTGACACAGCCTTGCACAATCGGGGTATTAGTCCTCCCCACTGCTCTGTAGCAATCATCCCCTCCCTGCTCATCTACAGCTTACCCCCTTTCTGCCTGCCTTGTTTGAATTCAAGGCTCCCTTGGCTATAAGGTGCCCCTACTGTGCTAATGAAAGGGTGAACTCTGTCAGTGCTTCCCACGTACTCATTCTGAAGAATTAGATACTAGGGTTGGAGGTTTAATGTCAAAGGGCCATTCCTGCTGCTAGGCAGTCATGGCAACTGCCGTGAGTGTGCTGGGCCACATCATATGCCATCGCTGATGCCAAACCCCGGTTCCTCTGAGGTCTGTGCTCCCTCATGCTATGATGATCCCTTCAGGGGATCATCCCAAATCTGGTCTTACTGGATCCAGCAACACACACACACAGAAAATAATATATGCTTATCCACATGGAAATATGTTCTAATCCTACAAATTCCAGTGTAGTTGGTAACATGAAACAGGAGTTTCACGGTAAATAATGCTGACAGCCAAGTATAATATGGTTTATTATGAACCAGTTACCATTCCTTATACATCTTAACTCATTATTTCCTGGAAAGCAGGGATCAAAGTATGGTCAAGGTTATGATGTCAAGTATCCCTGGGCCTAGGATACGTGTCCAGACCTGTTGTTATACTTTCATCCACTTACACATTTATAAAAAAGAGAAGTTATTTCATGTTCACTCAACGTAAACACAGAAAGTTAGGTTAAGGCAATACAACTAGATCTCCTAACTCCTGGATTAGGGTTCTTACTCCTTACCACAGTACTTTTCTGCTTATTTTTCAAACTCTTTCATGAATTTCAAAAAGAAATTGATCACTTCTTTTTCCAGCCAAAAATATATACTAGTCTTATGTTGTATGTTCAGAACTACTTCAGATGTTTGAAATTATTACTTTAAAAACCGGGAGCAGGGGCTCACACCTGTAATCCTAGCCCTCTGGGATGCTGAGGCAGGTGGAGTGCCTGACCTCAGAAGTTTAAGACCAGCCTGAGCTAGAGCAAGGACCCGTCTCTAAAAATAGCCAAAAGTCGTCCTGGCTACTGGGAGGCTGAGGTGAAAGTATTGATTGAGCCCAAGAGGCTGAGGTTGCTGTGAGCTCTAATGCCACGTCACTCAGAGCAACTGGGTGAGACTCTGTCTCAAAAAAAAAATTATTACTTTAAAAACCTAGACTTTATAAAAATAAATAAATAAATAAATATAAACCTAAGCTTTGTCTTACATAAGTGCTGCTCTCACAGTACTATGACCGCTCATCCTGCTACTAAGTAACCCATTTATACAAATAAAAATAACTCACCAAGAACTGTCAGCTGAATCTTCTTATTTGCAACGCCAGGAGCTTTTTTCACTTTGCACTGATAGGTGGCAATATCCAGTAACTGTAAATTCGTTACATTTATTGATGCATCACCAGATTTAAGATCATTACTCGTAAAATGTACTCGTCCTTTCAGATCTGGATAGTAGTCTTCATAAATTTTATCTCCAGAATATAAAATAATCTTAAAACAAAACAAAACAAAATAAGAAGGGAGGAAGAGCAAACACACACACACATACTAAATGCCTGTCTCTTTAAGGCGTTCTTGATACACCTGCTACTACAGCTACCATTATCTGAATCACAGAATGAGAACATGGAAAAGTATCAGTGTGACCCTGGAGTATAGCCCTCTCCTCCCCTGACCCAGCATGATTAAGTACAGCAGTACAGTGGGATTGGACAAGAACACAGGTTTGCTCATCCCTACAGACTCTATTCTGTCACCGCCTCCAAGGCTGCAGTGTGCCAATCAAGTGTATGAAATCAAGTACATACTGTCTTCTGCTTCCATTAAAAAAAGGCTTATCATCATTTACCTATTCAATCTAACAAAAAAGATAACTTTTCTGGCTCGGCGCCTATAGCTCAACCGGCTAAGGCGCCAGCCACGTACACCTAAGGTGGCGGGTTCGAATCCCCAGCCCGGACCCGCCAAACAACAATGGCGGCTGCAACCAAAAAATAGCCGGGCGTTGTGGCGGGCGCCTGTGGTCCCAGCTACTTGGGAGGTGGAGGCAGGAGACTCGCTTGAGCCCAGGAGTTGGAGGTTGCTGTGAGCTGTAGTGCCACGGCACTCTGCCCAGGGGGACAGCTTGAGGCTCTGTCTCAAAAAAAAAAAAAAATTATGTCTTATTACTAAGTTGAAGGCACCTGGTGGTTCTAGATTCTAATAGATAAAACCATAAACCCTTTAAGATATGTGTAACCAGGGTAACCAGATCGCTCAGTGACTCTTGTAAGTAAAGTGAAGCTCTGTTCTTAATTCCAGTGAGTTTTATGAGGACACTGATGGCAATAACTGAAGGCTAGATTAGAGGGAAATTAAAATCTGTGCAAATATGACTTAGAAGACAACTGGTAGGAGTCACCTCTAAAATTAATTTAACACATTTTATAATTGTTCACATTTGGTAATAAAATTCCTATTCTAATCACATGAGACCCACGGGCCAAAGAGCAGTGCCAAATTCTTAGGAAACACAACTATAGTCTATATCCTACAAATATATATATGTGTGTGTGTGTGTGTGCATATATATATATATATATATATATTTTTTTTTTGAGACAGTGTCTCACTATGTTGCCCTTGGTAGAGTGCTGTGGCATCACAGCTCACAGCAACCTAAAACTCTTGGGCTTAAGTGATTCTCTTGCCTCAGCCTCCCAAGTAGCTGCAAATAATTTTTTATCTGAGATGCTAATTATGGGCAATAAAATCAGAATAAATGTCATCCAAGAATACTTTTTTCTAAATTTATTTATTTATTTATTTATTTTGAAGTTTTTGGCTGGGGCTGGGTTTGAACCCGCTACCTCCGGCACATGGGGCCAGCACCCTAGTCCTTTGAGCCACAGGCCCCACCCACTTTTTTCTGAATTTCATCTGTAGGAATTTCCTGAGTGGAGGGACTCGGGTTCTCATCTGTATTATCTCCTCTTCTACTCTACTGACCCCGCCCTCAATCCACAAAGCTCTTCTATTTATACATGAAGTGTATACACTAGGCTGTACTCAATACTAGTTTGCTGAGTCAATAAGGAGCAGTTGAAGGGTCCACAGCTGACATACTATGTAAACACAGGTCATTACTGTATTAGCTCAATATTCTTGCCACACCCACTTGTCAGGAACAACACTAAATAAAAATGAGGCTGCTCTATCTGTGTTTGGATTTAAGGCCACAGCGTACAATCTACTGTACTTCTAATAGCCCATTTTGCTACACACCCACTTTTAAGGAGGGTGTAAGACCTTTCCCCACCATGTTATTTTTAAAGCTAATTAGTATTTTCTCATGAAAATAATGTTATAAAAATTAGTTGAGAAATGGGAACTAACATTTCCCGGCAACTTTACATGTTTTCATTGATTCCCCTGTGCAGCCCTGTGAGGATGATGGCATTGTTCACGTTTAACATTTGAGCTCAGGAAAGCACTGGCTCTCACCGATCACCTTTTAGAGAGTCGCACAGCCAAGATGCAAAGCAGATCCATGTAACTCAGCACAGGGCACAGTTAACACTTCTATATCCGTCATAAGCTTACAAAATGCTTATGCATACAGTATTTCCCTGAATTCTGTAACAACCTTGAGATGAAGCATGTATTTGATCCCACTTTACATATGAGGAAACAAGAGTATGACACATGGGAGACAGGACAGGCTAGTGCAGGGATGAAAATAGTGTAGGTGTGACAGAGACCTGGGTTCAAATCTCAACTGCACCTGTTGTTAACTATGGGACCCTGGGCATGTTCCTTCCAATCTCTGAGCCTGTCTCCCCCTTTTTATGTGTATAATAATTCTTACTTTGGGGCATCATCTTAAGGCTTAAATTAAGTACATACAATTAAAGTATATAAAACGCTGCCTGGCACACAGTGCATGGTAACTGCTGACGAAAGTGACTACATCAGGAATAAGAATGGAAAATTTTACCAACCCAGTCCTCCCATTCGTGGTCCTTAACCCATACTGTCTGCAAGTGGAAACATTAAAATAAGAGCTCCATTAACATAAAGCACCAAAATTCTATGTAACCATCTTTTTCTTTTCTTTTTTGCAATTTTTGGCTGGGGTTTGGGTTTGAACCTGCTACCTCCAGCACATGGGGCCAGTGCCCTACTTCTTTGAGCCACAGGCACTGCCCCATATGTAACCATCTTCTGCATCCAACTCTTTCTAACCCTTCTACCTTTCTTCTGGTCTGACTTTACTGTGTTTTAGGTTACAGTCTAGGTTTTCAGTCCACAAGTGGAGACCCAAAGCCAAGTCACCAGTTTCACACTTATCTCACAACTCCTGCAGGCAGCATGGCTGCACCTCCCACTGAGCCTGGAAGACACTGGGTCCTCCCCACTGACACATGAATGGTACAGCGCATACTGCTTCTTGGTCTCCATTTGTGCCTTGTCACAGGCTTCACTCATCTCAGGAGTCTTCAGCAGGAATCACTGAAGACCCATGCTCCCCGTACACATCCCAGGCTTCAGCTATCTTAAGCGTGGGATCCCAGGCCTGGTCTCTAAAGGGAGGTGGACACTGCATTGGCAGGGAGCACAGGAAACTCCCGGCCTCAGGTAGGAAGCCTGTTCGCAGGGCTGGCAATTCCCCAGAGAGGGAAGTAGAGAAAGGGGAGTGAGAGCAGAAGCGGGAGGCAAGAGGGATGGCAGGCAGAATGAGTCAGGCTCAATTTATTTTGCTCAGGGAGGCAGAAGAAAGTACTGGTAACAGAATCAGGGCAGAGGTGATGTCCTAGGAGGGAGTGGCCCTAATCACTCAAGATTTGGGGAAGTACCTTAATTATTTCTTTCACAAACATGTCATGAGCAAAGTGATTTCATTTACCAAAACAATTCATTGCCTGACTACACCAGTTCAGTCATTAAATGGAAGAACTTTACCTGCAACGTTCAAATAACCTTTCTCTTTTACGTGGACAATAATTTTAAAAATGAAATTTCTCTTCCAAATGGGTATGTTACTACATTCCCCTAAAAATTTGAGCTTATTTTCTTTTCCCTGGTCTAATGTAATTTATTAACATTTATTTTCTTAAAAATTAAATGACTCAGATAAAGCTAATATACAACATTTTAATAAAGTGAAATATACTGGAACCTTAAAAGGCCAAGGGTGACATCTGTAATTAAAGGTGAGAAAAATGGACAAAGTTCTCTCTTTGTGCTCTTTTTGGCTTTCTAAGTTTTCTAGATTAGGTTCTTATTACTTTGATAGGAAAAAAATACTATAATAATATTTTTTAAGTTTAAATATTTTATAGATTTTTTTTTTTGAGACAGAGTTTTACTTTGTCACCCTTGGTAGAGTGCCATAGCGTCACAACTCACAGCAACCTCAAACTCTTGGGCTCAAGTGATTCTCTTGCCTTAGCCTCCCATGTAGCTGGGATTACAGACACCTGCCACAACACCCAGCTATTTTTTTTTTTTGTTACTGTTGTCATTGTTGTTTAACTGGCCTGAGCTGGGTTCAAATCCGCCAACTTTTGTATATGTGACCAGTACCGTAACCACTGTGCTACGGATGCTGAGCCTATAGATTGTTTTTATGCTGTAAAGACTTTGTTTTTTCAGAAATCCATTGTCAAAAATTATCCAGGATACTGAACATGAAAAAACAAGCAAAATGAGACTTTAATATGTGCTGTAACGATATGTACTTACATCAAAGAACAGAATCCTTGCATACAACTTAAAAAATTCAATTCCGTCTAACCTTTAACAAAGTGGAGCTTACTCATCATCTCCTAACACACCACGCACTCTCCTTCCTAGACCCCTGCCTGCTCCACCGATGCCCCGACCATGTCCTGCCTCGTGTCATACAACACTTTCTATCCACATTTTCAGAACTTTCACAAGTTCCTGTTCTTTCCTGAAAGCTTCTCTTAAGATGTCTTGTCACCTTTTCCTCTTCTGTAGTCTTAGGTCACTGACTGTCCATTCCCTTCCATTCCACCTCCCCCCTGTCTGCCTCCTCCTCACCCAGACCATAAGCCTGGGAATACTGGGGCTTTCTCCCATCTCCCTGTGGCCCATCTGTGTCCTTAGCACAGTGATGGACACATGAGACAGTGACACAGACATCTGCTGAGCAACCAAGCACTTCTCAAACTTACCACTCGATCCACCTTCTGATTATCAGCTGGTGATATCAGCCACTCGATGTCCAGCGGTCCCTGGTCTTCAGGACTAAGTGTGAATTTGCACGGCAGATAGGCCGTTTCCCCTTTGGCTTTTTCAATCATCTGTTCAGGAGTAGTGATGCTCAAACTCTGGGTGAAATCTGGAGAAAGACAGGTGCATGGGACTAAGCATGCGCTGTATGCTGGCAACCTTCTCAGGGCCCCGGAGCCCTTCAGGAGGAACACCGTGGTGTGGGGTTACAGGGGGTCTGGGAACACAGGAGTGGGGTCCCAACTCAGTGATGCCCAGGGTTCAGTTTATACCTTTGTAGAAATGGTATGATGTTGATTTGACACAATCCACTTTAAAAGCACCATGCACTTCCATTATATAAAATGAAAGTTTCTACTAGTAGACAATTTCTACATCCAAGCAGGTGTTTAAAACTAAATTTACCTAAAATCTCTGAATACAGTCAGGCCATTTGAATTCAAGACCACATTAATTCATGTTTGTCACAGTGTGACAAACACACCGAGAACTCATTCAGTAGAGCACATGCTGATAAATTTTAATGTTTTCTGCCACCATTTAATTCTAAGCAATAAATTTTGAAGAGAACAATTCAAAAAGATAGGAAACACCATCAATTTAGAATTCTTTAAAAAAACTACCAAATAGTTGACCTCAAAATTATCTTTAAGATATTTCTTGACTAGGCATGGTGGCTTAGGCCTATAATCCCCTCATTTTGTGAGGTCCAGGCAGGGGGAACCCCCATCTCTAAAAAAAGTAAAAACGTTAGCCAGGCATGGTGGTGGCTGCCTGTAGTCCTAGCTAGCTGGGAGGTGAAAGCAAGTAGATCACCTGAGTTTGAGGTTGCTGTGAGCTAAGATGATGCCACCATGCTCTAGCCTTGGGTGACAGAGAAAGACTCTGTCTCTAAATACATAAACAGATAAAAATTAAAGACAGCAAACCCGCTGCAACTCTGCAAGAGCTCAGTACCTCTTATATAAATGGTGGCAATAAACTATGAGTAAAATCTTGATCTGAAAGGGAAAAAATACTGAATTTAATCAGTTCACATTGCTTTTCGAAAGAAAAGCCACTGCCGACATTAATTTCCACATAAAAATAGATCTATTCAGTATCTGTCTTCAAATAAGATCAAAGTGAATAAACCACCAACTTGATTTAATATCCAAATTTACTAAACTATCACTTTAATAAAACTTAACATTTTTAACTGTGGGCAGATTGGTTCAGTCTTCTTAAGTTGAATTTGTGTGTAAGTTACAACAATTACTTTTATTTTAAAAAGACTGCCTTTTAAAAAGTCATGTATGTGTATCAAAACGATCTGGAAAATATATGACAAACTGTTAACACAATTATTTTTGAGATTTGAGATTTTTAAGAACGATGTTGGCCCATTTCTGCTTTATTCCAAGACCTTATGTGTACCTGCCTGACAAATTTTAAACAGATTTGTAAATGGCTTTTAGTATTTCTTTTTCAAAAAACGATCATAACATTCTAATTGTTCTTCATTATGTTACACCAGAAATGAGTTGAAATCTCAAGATCCAGCAAAACAGTTACGATGTTTCCTAGCAACATAGAAGGTCCTCTTTCCACAGAGACATAGTTTTTCAAGTGCTGAAGTATGCAACAGTCACAAATTGTACAAGACAAAAAGCAGACAGACACTTGGTCTCATGTGGTGTCCCTGGGATTCTTTCCTAATACTGCCCACGTTTATTTGTGTAGCAAATTGAGTCATAATTTAACTTGCAAACTACTTGTAGGTTCAAATATGGTTTGAAAAGTAAATATCACGGCGCCTATAGCTCAACCGGCTAAGGCGCCAGCCACGTACACCTAAGGTGGCGGGTTCGAATCCCCAGCCCAGACCCGCCAAACAACAATGACGG